TCTTTCAACCTCCATGAACATTTTGTTGGCCTTTGCTCCAACCATTGCTAAGAGCCTCCTTGCTTTCCTACACTCAGGATAACCAAAACTTAGTATCAGTAAATCACCATTATCCACGTGGCTGCAGCCATAGGGCCCAAGATTGCCTCCTTCTCATGAGAGTTAGCCAGGACTGATATGGGTCCTCTAGAGGCTACTCTAGCTCTCAGGTACACAACAGCAGTGTTCTAAGAGATCATCAAAGCTTTTCCTAGTCTTGCCTGGAAGTCGCACTACACCACGTGCACCTGACTCCACTGTCAAACCAAGTCACGGGTTCACTTCACGTGAAAACCTCTGCCAGTTGTTGGTCTGGGATGCATAGATTCTGTGGAGGTTGCTATATGAGTGAAGCTTGTTCTCAGTGATCTGATATTTGACACAGGTGCATGGCAGGTGCCATCTTCGCGGGGAGTGTGATTTGTGGGTAACTAGTTTTGATGGTGCAAAAGTCCCAGGAGTCCAGGGCTCCCCACCGGCTAGTGCCCAGGTGTGGGAAGTCGTCTCCCCAGGAATCTCACCTGTGAAATGGAAGGCTGCACTCGGGGGACGCCAAACACCCACCTACGCCTTCAGACCCTGGGATATGTGTCTAAACCGTTCAGGTGACCGTGGCTGCTGTTCCAAATCTGTCCCTGGTGACTCAGCCCTGATTAGGGACATGGCACTGCTGCTGACATTTCCTTGCAGGACTAGACTGGGATCCTGTCAATCAATGTCTTGGAGAACAGGGGCAGAGGACCCTTTGGCATGGAAATGTCAGGGTCAGATTCTGGGTGTGTGTTTGTGTGTGTGTGTGTGTGTGTGTGTGTGTCTGTGCACATGCAACCTGCATTTAAAACAGATATGCCAAAACAGTGTCATAAAAATCGTGGCCTGATTTATTACTTATTTTTCATTTTTAATGTTTTGCAATATTGGAGATCAAACCCAGAGCCCTGGACCCACTGGGAAAGTAGAAATGATATGAGTTTCTAGGGTACCTTCTGATGCTTCATGCTCATGTACATCATATGAAGTTTAAATCAGGATAAATTTATCTATTTCCCTGAACAGTTATAATTTCCTGGTGAAAATACTCCAAATCCTTTTCTGTTGCTTTGAGAAACCGAGCAGCACCTTCTTGGTATCTGGGGTCAGGCTCGGTGTCTGCCACAGTATCTCGCTCCTGTCTGACTTGGTACCCAGCAGTCAGCCTTTGTCTCTCTTCCTCTGCCCAGTCTCCGTGCTGCTCTCAGTTATGGTCTCGTCTGTCTTAGATGCCACGTGACAAGTGAGGTCACATGGTCATCGTCTCTCTGGGCCTCATCTGCTTCACTTAGCTTAGTGAGTTTCAGGTCTAACTATGTGGTCGCAAATGACAGGACTTCATTTTTCCACGGCTGAATACTATCCCACTGTGTTAAGGGTCCACTTTTCACTTGTGGAATCCATTCCATCGCAGAAAAGGACCACAGTTTCTGTAGCCGTTTATCAACTGGTGGACACTTGGGCAGTTTCCATTCCTTGACTGTGGGGCGGTGAACAGTGCTGTAAAGAAGGTAGCCGTAAGGGGCTGGGGATTTAGCTTAGCGGCATAAGCGCCTGCCTTGCAAGCAGGCAGTTGTGAGTTTGATCCCCGGTACCGATAAAAAACGAAAAAGACAAAAAAAAAAAAAAAAGGAAAAAAAAGAAAAAAAAAAGGTAGCCGCATCTCTCACAGACGACTTTGTTTACTTTGGATTCACACCCCGAAGGGGGATGCTGGGAGTGGGGTTATTCTAGTTTTAATTTTTTGAGGAACCTCCACAAAGGCTGCAGTAATTCACATTCTCAGCAACAGTATTGTTAGAGGCCGCTGAGTCAGAGAAACATTATAGGCTGTACCATAGGACAGGGCTGGCTCTCGAAGGAGCCAGGGCAGAAGGCCAGATGCCTTGCAACCTAGGAGGAGACAGACACTTCTGCTGCAGGTCAGACTTCAAGACAGAGGGCAAAACAAATGCAGCCACACCCGAGGGATAAACATCGGGACTGATATTCTAAATAGGTGTGGGTCACCTGAGGAAGCCAGCAGTCACCACCCCACATCCCTGTAGAAAGAGTCACTGCTCTTTACGCATGCCCGCTATGTGGCTCGCTTCCCATTTGTCCCTGATTTGGTCAATTTTACCTGGACAATTAGTCTTATTGGTTGACCACAGTTCTGTCCCACCTCATGCCCAGCTTGGGGGTTCCCATTTATGCCCATCTTGGAAACATCTCACCTCGTGGTTTTGCTCTACAAAAGTCCCTAGAAAAGACAGTCTTTAGAAATCCACATAGGACCCCTTCTGTCTCTCTCTGAGAGAGATGCTTTCTTTTTCTCAATAAATATATTTTTCTCTTAATCTCCATTGTTCCTAAAACCCGTTCTTCAGTTTTAGAGAGCACAAACTCAAAACTCAAAACCATCTGGTAGGTTGGGAGCTTCATTCCCCGATATCAGTGTGACTTATTTACACTTTCACATTTAGCATCTAACGACCACATCCACATCGCCGAGTCCCACGGCTTTGTGTGTGACTATGGGTGAAGTCCAGTGCCGGCTTAGACCTGGCCTAGTGTCCCCTCTCTGCTTCCCACCCTCTCCCCAGTCTCTTCCATGTCTTCTCACTCTCTCCCCTGTTTATTTGCATGTTTATTTCTGCCTGAGACAATTTACTCCCAAAATGTCTAATAAATAAAATGACGGCAAATCCTGACTCAACGGTAGGGAAATTGAGGCAAAAACAAGAGGAGACAATCAGAGATACTCTGGCTTTAGAGTTGTTACAGAAAGATCACCTGTGCACCACAGACATGTTGCCTGATGGGTCTCCCCACAGCTCTTTCTCGACAAGTCAAAGCATTTGTTGGGAGTGACAAGGAGCAAAGTAGGATGTCGGAGGGCCCGATCCCGTCCTCTGGAGAGAAGCAGCCCGCTGGGGGCAGAATGGTCCCATTTCACAGGCGAGGGGGCCTCAGGCGGGGGCCTAGGGGTCACAGGCTGGAGAGGGAGCAGTGCACTCGGAGGCTGGGAGGAGGCGCTGGGTGTCAGAAGTGGAGCACTGTGGAGGGGGCTGCTGGGAGGAGGGCAGCGGGGAGGTGTGGGGTACCGGGAAGTCCCACAAGGAGGAGGGTTTTCTGATTGAAGCATGGAGAAAAGAGACCGAAATGAACTGATGGGTGGGTCTTCTGCATCTGTGTTAGCTACAGGTGGATACATAACAGTTTAAGAGGCTTAAAGTGGTGGGCGTGAATTTATCATCTCTTGCTGCTCTGGGGTTGGTTGGGTGGGGGTGGGTGAAGTTGTGTGGACCCCAGACCACGGGGTGCTCCCAACTCGGCGTTCACAGAGGCCCCTCAGCGTTCACAGAGGCCCTCCTGTGGCTATGGCCCATAAAGCTGCTGCTGAGAGCTCAGTGGGGTCCCTGCCCCAGGCCCCCGTGGACACCCCCCCACCCCCCACCCCCGTTTTGGACCTCTCACACCAAGAGCTTCTGTTTGGAGTACAGGCACACAGAGGCTGGGTCATGGGCCGAGAAGACAGGCCTGGGGCACATTCTTTGAGCCAGTGATTGGCTTTTCCCCATAAAACAGAGTCCCCAGGTCACTCAAGTTGAAGGCCTGGCAATCCAGTGTGAAAAGATCCTCCTGCAAGAGGCAAGAGAGCCTTCCATATTGGGGAGGGGGCCTCCTTTTCTCCACGCAAAAACCCTATCAGGTGTGATGGAAAGGCAGAGTCTGCAGCCCCAGCAAAACCTGCTGATTTCCGGTCTGTTTTGTAAGCAGACCTCAGGTGTCTGGGGCCCATGACCTAGATGCCTTCCCAGGCATCTTCCAGCAGGAATTTCCTGTCACCCTAACACCCCAGGGAGTGCGGAACCAGACTGGCCTGAAGCTGAAAGCCAGCTTTGTGAACAGTGTCTCTGAGCAAGGACAAGGGTGCTTCCCCAGTGATCAGGGCTCATGGTTTCTGCAGCCCCAGGGATGCCATTTCGGGGTGTCTGTCTGCTGAGTCACTGCAGGAAATGAGCCAGCAGAGGCGGCACCCCACCCTGTGGGCTTGGCAGACCAGTCCTGGGAGGTGACTCCAGGGAAGATGGGCGGGGCCTCGCCCCCAGCGGTGTCTGCACAAAGTCGGAAGGGCCCCTTTCAAACCCCTGAGGCCGGATCCATTCAACAGGGTGCAGGGTGTGTTTTTTCCATTCTTACATACCTGGTTCCTGGCAGGTGCCCAATAATATGGACAGATAGAAAGATTCATTTATCTTCCCTCCATCCAGGTGGGCCCTGGAGGAAATGCAGCCTCTGTTCCCCAGGAGAAGTGTGAGTGAGGAGGGCAGGACCTGGTGTGGGAGCGGGAGGGGCAGTGAATTCAAATCCTGATTCTGCCGGTGTAGCTTTAGGTAAGCCCTGCGATTCCCTGGGCCCAGCATTACCCCAAGGCCTGGCCACCCCCACCCAGGGCTCTGTCCCCATACACAGGAGATGCTGAGCACAGCGAGCCTTTGACTTATTCACTGGTGGCGGTGAAACATAAATTAATAATACACTCATATGGTTCGAAGCCCAAATTCTTAAACAGTGGTAAATTGAGAGGTCTCATTGCCACCTTTCCCCTCATCCACCTCTGCTTCCATAAGGAAATGGTTTTGTTTCTTATATATTCTCCCATCTAAATGCATGCAAATACATATTCTGATTTGCTCCTTTCTGAAACAAAAGTACCATACTATGTACATAGTTCTTACTCTTTCTTGTCCAGCTAAAGGCACACACAGTCATCCCTTGGTATCCAAGGGAGGGCTTCCAAGCCCCCCACAGGTGCCAAACTCTGCAGTGATGAAGCCCCACATGGAAAATGGGAATATTCACATCTCAGTTATGCACCTCCTCCCCTGTACCTTAAGTCATGTCTGCATTATTCATACATATAACATGATGCCCAGTGCAATGGATGCTGTATAAATAATTTTATATCGTGTTTTTTGGGGGGGTCAAGGACGAGAGTAAAAAGTCTTTACACGTTCAGTACAGATTCACCCACAAAGGCTTCCCACAGTTTCTATCTGCCTCTGGTTACACCCACAGCTGTGGAACCCGTGGGTGTGGAGGGCCAACTGGGTTTCTCTCCCAGCTCCCCAGAGAGGCATATTCAGCTCGACACACTCCCCTGTCGTCACCAGTGGACACTCTCTGGCCTGGCAGATCTGGAGCCCCAAGAGCTCAGACCTGGCAAAACCACCTGCCGGGACCTCAGGGGCTGAGGACATGGCCCAGACCAGCACCGTCATGACCCTGGCACTTGTGCACACGCAGCAGACAGGCTCCCAAGCCAGTTCTGGCCAGCGCTGGACACATCATGCAGAGCAGACCTGCTCCCTGCTCCAGTTCTCCTGCAGTGCTGGCCAGCCCACTCTGCGGTCACTCCAGTCCTGCAGCCAGCTCAGTTGCTTGTTCACGACTTTACTAAAGCATCTGTCCTCTAGAGTCGGGTTTGAATTTCACAGCCATACCATGAGGCAATGCATTCTCCAACTAATATTAAAACATTTCCCCTCGCAGCTCAGTTCTGTGCCTCTGCTCCTTAGCAAACCATTTGGATTCATAGAATCCAAGCAGAAAGGGCCTCAAGAGTCCTCCGTGCAGACCCAGTCCCAGATGCTTGGGGCCATGGCACGATCTGTTCGGTGCTTCGAAGACAGTGGATGCATTCTCTCATACAGGAAGGTGAGGCCACTCTCCCCTGACCCAGCAGCTGTAGTGTGACACTTCTCTTCCTCATCTATGGTGACCTCACCATCTTGGGAACGCTTGGCTCTGGATTCTTTCATCTCACTTACTTTGGGTGCGTTTTCAATCCATTTTCCTCCATCTCCACCCTCTTGGAACCCTGCCACCAGCTTCTTTCTTGAAATGTTCATTCCTCTTCCTAATAACTCCCTTGGAACGGCCGCTGGTTCCAGACTTTATTACCCTAACAAAATTGAGTAATTCTTACTTCATCTTTTTTGGCAAACTTTAAGGATGCTCTTTATGATACTTCTTCCATTAAGGGAGACATGCTTTCAGAAGGCTGTATCAGACTGAGACGTTCCAGGGTTTTCTTAGAAAATTGTGTCATGTTGAGAGGGAGGAGAGAGGCAGGAAGTGAGAGAGGAAGCCTTGGGGCAGGACAGGAGGACGGGAGGAAGTCTCCTCCTCACCAAGTTCTGAGGACCACAGAGACACAAGGGCTAATTTTGCATCCTTCCCTGAGGGATAAATGGAGGCTTGGGGTTATGGCATCACACTTTTGAGTCTTCCTATTAACTCTAGGGATAAACCATCCTCTCCCACTCACAAGACTACACTAAAGCTAAAATGAAAAACAACACTCCAGGGCAAGATCCTTCTTAGCATAAAATCATCTCCACCCTCTTGAGACATCCCAGGATTACCCACTGCCTGCTGAGTTACTGACCCCCCAATCTCCATTAACTCCTCCCATCATTGTATACAAATGAGGCATTGTACACACCCAGTGTCCACAACTGGGTCTTTGCCCTCCCTGAGGCACTGACCTCCCAGCCACCCATCATGCATTACTCTCTTTGTCTCTGTTTCCTGTTTTATCCTTTGTTATACCCCTTATACAGGCAATAACCAAGGTCCTATGGAACCTAAAACACCACTATTTAAGTACAGGTAGCAAGGGTGAGGTGGACTTTGGCTCAAAGATTGTTAAGAACTAGTTGCAAATACAGAAGACACTTTTCTATAGAACTAGTATCATAAATGGAGGTCTAACTTTTCAAACAAACTCCATGAAATATATTTATCTCTTTACTGCTTAATTACTAGCTGTGTCAAGTAGGACTTCAGTGGATGCCTGCCTCAGTTTCTTGAATAAAATGATGATGATGATGATGATGATGATGATATAACTTCTCATAGGGTTGTAGGGGCATGATATGTTGTATTAGTCCATTTCTGTTGCTGTAACAAAACACCCGAAGCTAGGCAACACCTAAAGAAAAGAAGTCTATTTAGCTCACAGTATCTCAGGCGCAGGAGCATGGTGCTGATATCCATCTGTACGGCTCTGGGGAGAGCTTTAGGCTGTAGCACAGTGTCACAGCTCCCCTGCAAGAAGCAAAGGTCACATGGTGGTGGATACTGATAGAACTGTGGGGGACCAGCAGCGGCTGAAAAGATCAGAAGTATGAAATATAAATGACCTTTATTTTGAGAATGCAGGGAGCGACCCCCGATCCCCTGGGGTGCGGCATCCCCCCCCACCCCCCCACCCCCATCGGTGATCTCTCCGTGGATGCATATAAGTAGCCTAGGTTTGGGGTGGAACCTAAGGGGCATTAGTGATGCACAGGTAGCTCACTGGTATTCTTTTGGGGCCATAGGTAAATTCCTAGGGGTGGGGGAGATGGAGCTTCTTGGTTCTGCCTGAGGCTTTACCAGCTACAGGGTCCTGTCTGGGCCAAAACTCTTTCAGAGACGAAGCCAAAGACAAGGAGTGGCTTTGCCCTTTTACAACTCACTCCAGAGGAAGCTAACCCGGGTCCCACAAGAACTATGCTAATTCCTTCAGAGAGCAGGACCCTCAGTCGCCTGGTTTCCTGCTCTCAGCTGCTCTGAAGAGCATGCTACGTGTCCCAGCCTGCAGCATTTCCACCCTGCACACCACGGCTACAGCCTAAGAACTTTTAGGGCCAAACCACGTCCAAACTATAGCACAGAGATTTATGTACCTAAAACAGCTATGGGTAAGTAATGAAAATCACATTTATTGATATTACTCGCATTTGTAGCCAAACTACAAAAGCCTCCATCCCCAGTCTCAGCCTCTCTGTCCCTGTAGCCCTGCTGAGCACAGGTGCAGGGTCAGGGAGCCCAGCAGGTGGGATTCGATGGAGATGACGAAGCCCCTCGTTGGGGATCTTGGCCGAAGGGCTCTGAGGCCACAACTGAGGAAGAGGCTGCCATGAAGGGGACTGGAGGTAGAAGTGCCCATTCCTGCTAGGGCCAAATGTCAGCCACGGCTGGGCAGAGTCCCCCTGAACTCCGCAGGAGTTCTGAGGCAATCTGAGGTTTTAGATGGAGATGCTCCTCTAGGGGAGAGCAGGCTGACATTTGCAGAGTGTGGGTTTGGGCTGCTCCATAGAGCCCGTGAGGCTCCTGGAAGAGTAGGGAGGGGCAGGGCTATGGTTTGCACCATTGTGCACTGTCCCCGCTTCACAAAACCCCAAAGTTAAAGGCCATAGGTAACACAGCAAGAAGGTTCTTCAGCTGTGTGGGACTGAACTTTGTCACAGACAGATATCCCCAAGGCCAACTAAGAACTGCCAGCAAAACACAAAGGCCTGTGGGTCCCCAAGGGCATTCTGTAGCCTTTCCCGCCCCCTTCCCGCATCCTGGCACATGATCAGAAAAGGGCCAGGCAGAGGGGGAAGGGCAGCCCTGCGAAGGACTCGGAACCCACAAGGAGCTGAGCACGAGTGTGGGCTTCAGCTCCAGTGTTCAGATCATTTCATCTGCACCCCGGGCCCTGTGCTCACAAACTGCCTTTCCTGCTTCTGCAGTTAAATTTCCTGAGGCACCATCGGACCTGTCGGCTCAGGCTTGGTGTTTAACTCACCTCTTCTCTGGTCTTTGGAGGGTTTCAGAGGCAAACCTTACAGAATTACTTGCAGATGTTTCTGTGGGATCGGAGTGAGGCTGTGTGCACCTGCTCTGCTTAGAGATGTGCTGCACACACAGCAGTTCATGCTCATAAACTCCATCTCACGGCATCCTGGGAGAGTCAGAGGCATCTTCGTGCTTTGAATAGAAAAGCGTGCACCCTTTGAGGTAAGGCTTGCACTCAAAACTCCTCCCCAAGAGGCTACTGGTTTCACCCACACTCATTTACAGAGCGTGTACCGTCACCACTGGGTGTAATTCATGCCACGGTATCTAGGCGGTCCCAGGCCTCAGTTTCCTGGAATGTGGCCTTATTTCAGGCGATGTGGCATTTCCCAAATCGCACAGCACTGTCCCTGTGCTTTGATCTGTTCCCAGCTCTGTGAGTTTTGTTTGCTGCAGGTATCAGTAGAAATCAGTGAGTAGCACCACTTAAAACAGATGCATCTCAGGTCCTGTCACGGGGAGCTCTCACCATGCCCCGCCTTGTGTTTGAGCACTGTTATCACCATGGTAGTGAGTCAGATGTGTAACCTAGGGTAACGTCAGAATGAAATGAAGTGGGAGATCTGTTACAGGTTGAACTCTGGCTGCCCCCCAGCCCCTAAAAGATATCTTGAAGTCCTAATCAATATGGGACACCTGCCCGGGTCCAGGTTCCTCAGCTTGGCCCTCAGTGCATTTCCACTACAGAATCTGGCTGTAGGTCGCCGAGCGATGTCCTGGGTCACTACCCACTAGCAGCCAGTAATGACTGCCTCCAGGGGTAGCAGTGAAAAATGCCAAAGGTCCCTTAAGGGGAAATCTCCGCCAAGGGAGAATATAAGTATCAGCCGGTACCGTTTAATGTGTGCCTTTTGAAAATGTCCCATGGCGATGAACAGTGTCTGTGAACACTGGCTGCATCCTGGAGAAAGAAAGTGAAATCATTATTGTGGATTGAATTATGTTTCTCAAAACGGTGAGTTTTGTGCCTCACCCCTGGTCCTGTGAATGTGAGGATGAACAGGATGAGGCCGTGCGGGAGTCTGGCTGGCTTTGCCAAGCCAGGAGCCACTTTATTTCTCACCATGTCTTGCTGCACACGTGTGCAGTTTCTATCTGACTCGGGTCCACACCTCTCAGCCGCACGCGCTGTCCTCTGCTCTGGTCCTCGCAGTCCTGCGAGCATGCCATGCTCACCCCACCCCGTGGCCTCACAGGGGAACGGTGGGCCATGGTGCTTTCAGGCGCCACAGAGGGAATAATTTGGAGTCCATGGGTGCTCTCCAGGCAGCACAGGCTGGCTCAGAATGTGATTCTCTGCAGAGGCAGCTGAGAACTGTCGCATGGATTCTAATCTCCACGCGGTAGGTAGCTATTCCGTGTTAGACTGGCTCCTAAGTCACCCCAAAGATGGAACCTTGTTATTTTGTTCCAGGGCTTCCTCAGACCTCAGATAACCTTGTGGCTTGTGAGTCTCCACCAGAAGGATACAGTACCCAGAATTTCCCAAAAGTATCTAATCACAGGCTGCTTTACTGCAAAACCATTCTGCAGTGATTACAGACTCAAGGCAAGTTGCACAACTAGTAGAGAGGTCCTATGTTTCTCCTCATTCCTAGGTTGCAGAAATTTGTAGGATTATTTTTCCCTTATTAAATTCATTGGTCCAATTTAGATATACGCAATGCATCATGGGGAATCTGTATCTATATACGATCCATCCTGATTCCTTTCTTAATTCCACTCTTCCCTTCTCCATCTCTTCCTTTCCTTATTTCCCTCTGTCTCCATTTTATCCTTCTGTTCTCTTTTTGGTTTGCTTCCTTTCCTTTCCTCCTCTCCTCTCCCTAATACCCCCTCTCATTTGAACATTTTCTTCCCATTTCCCAATATCTATTACACACTTTGGTCCTTAGTTACGCTTTCAGTTTCTCACATCAAAGAGACAATGTGATATTTACACATACGTCTGATTTATTTCACTTAAGAGAATGGTCTCAAGATGTATCCAGTTAGCTAGAAAAGTTTCAAGTTTATCTTTAAGGCTGAGTAGTTTCTGTCTCTGTCTCTCTCTCTGTCTCTCTCTCTCTCTCTCTCTCTCTCTCTCTCTCTTGTTATAAACCACATTATCTTCCTCCATTCATCAGTTGCTGGGCATTTGGGCTGTTTCCAGGATACAGCTATTACAAATTGTATTGCTGATGGCGTGGGTGTGTATACATTGCTGTACTATGATACTTTTAATTCTTTCAGGAAGATGCCAAGAAAGGGAATAGCTGGGTTGTGTGGGATCTCTAGTCATAGTTTTTTGAGAAATCTCCACACTGATTTTCATAGTGGTCTCCACCAACAGTGGAAAAGTGTCTCTTTTCCCACAATGCCTCACTGACATTTGTTATTGGTTGATTTCCTGATGATAGCCAATCTTTCTGGGGTGAGATGGATTCTTAGTGGTTTTTTTTTTTTATTTCAATTTTAATTTTTTTGGTCTTTTTGAGACAGGGTCTCTCTATGCAGTTCAGGCTGGCCTTGAGCTCACTTTGTAGCCCAGGCTGGTCTCAAACTCACAATGATCCTCCTGCCTCAGCCTCCCAAGTGCTGGGATTACAGGCATGAACCACCACACTCGGCTCCTCAGTGTTGTTTTAATTTGGATCTCTTGAAAGACCAGTGATGCTGAACATTTTAAAATATATTTTCCATTTGTACTTCTTCACATGAGAGGTGTGCATTCATTCTGGTGTCATTTTTGGGTTGGGAATTTAATTTGAAGGGGTTTGATTTTTTCTCAGTTCTTTTTATGTCTAGAAATTAGTCCTTTGTCTGAGGAGCAACAAGCAAAACTTTTTTCCCCACTCTGTGGGTTGTCTCTTCACTCTGTTGGTGATTTCTTTTACTGTGCAAAACTTTTTAGTAAGATGAGATCCCAGCTGTTGATTATTTGCGATATTTCTCTGTGTAATCGGGGTTCTGTTTATAAAACCTTTGCCTACACCAATGTCTTCAAGAGTTGTACCTGTTCTCTCTTCCAGCAGATTTAATGTTTGTCTTCATATTTAGATTTTCGATCCATTTTGATTTTAGGTTAGTGCATGGTGATAGACGTGGGTCTAGTTTTAGTCTTTGGCCTGTGGAGAGCCAGTTTTTCCAGCACCACTTATTAAAGAGGCTCTCTTTCTTCCAGTGAACATGCTTGGCCCCTTTGTCACAGCTAAAGTGGCTGAGTATATTTGGGGTCGTTTCTGCATCTTCTAATCTGTAATCTGTTCCACTGATCCCTAGGTCTTTTTTTTTTTTTTTTTTTCCATCACAGAACTAGAGAAAACATTCTTAACATTTATTTGGAACCAGAAGACACCCAGAATAGCAAAAACAGTTCTGGGCAACAAAAGCAGAGTGAAGGCATCACACTCCTGACTTGAAATTATACCACAAAGCTATTGTGATAAAAACAGCATTGTATGGACAAAAACTTTTATAGAGATTTTAAGAGTCTTGGCAACTACTTGTAAGAATTGTGTGCTACTTTGTACTTAAAATGTCCCACTTGAGGGAAAAAAGAGTGAATTCCTGCCGGAGACCTCAGATGTCTTCTCATCTAGCACACATGTGACCTCATTTTTTCAACTTTAGCTTCTGCATTCCCAGGGCCAGCCCCAGGAAACATATTTTTAAAAATTTTTGCAGCAACTCCAGGCAAATGAGAACCCACACAAAACACTGTGTTTCTGAGTTGAGTATGTCAAACAGCTTATTTCGCTCAAACATCTTGTCATCAATGCTGGCAATCAGGGACAGAGAAGCAAGCTCTAATTACAGGGAATCCGAGCAGGGAGAGTTGGGTAATGAGAGAGAAAACCCAGCTGAACGTGGCACTCAGCTCTCTGATGCTGTCCTGCCGATTGCCACTTGCCGAAGACTAATTTTCACCCAACCATAAGCAAAAAAAAAGGACAGCCCTCCCTGGAGACAGCTCCTATTGCATGCAAAGCCTATCGCAAACACACCGGACTTCTCCTGCTCTGGAGTTAGTTCCCTTTCTCTTTTCTGTTGGCCCCCCACTTATAGGTCCCTGGCCCCATTCCTGGAACCACCAGATCCCGTTCCTGCTCGCATGCTCCATACCCGCAGCCTGGGGCTCCCTCTCCCACTGTCCTGGAGAACTGGCTTGCTCTTCAGCCCATAGCCAGAAATAGCAGCAAGCATCAACCACTCCCCCCCCCCCTTCCTTGGCCACACTTTTATTGGCGAGAATTTCTCTTCAAGAGCCTGCAACACAAGTTGGACTAACTTCTGCAAAATTAGGTAATTTATGGATCTCAAGGTTAGACCATGGGAAGAGCAGAGGTCTAAGGAGAGAGATAAGGGACCACCATCCCAGTTCTCCCGGTTTCTCTGAGGTCATGGGTCACATTCTGACCACAGGAAGACCCGCAGGAGCCAGGTCCATACTCTAGTTCCAGCTTCACACTGGGTTGGGTAAGGAGAAGCGCTCTGTGCCCTTGGCAAGTTTAAGGAGCCCTGGGAGGACACTTGGGGCCCACCCCAAGGGATCTGAAAGCTTCCAATTGGTGAGTGAAGATGCAAGGTGTGGGGCCACAGTAAAGAATGGGGAAGGTTCCACAGTTCTTTGGTCCTTCATAAAGAAAAAGCATTAGTCAGCAATGACTGGATGATGAAAACAGATCACCTGTGATTTTCGCCAGTGGAGGTCCGGTCCTTCTTGCTGGATGCAAGCCCAGTAAAGGGCACAGGCCTGATCTTGCTGATGTTTCTGCCTCCTGGTGCAGGGCATGGACACAGCAATGTCCACACCCAGTAGGCTGCATCTATAGTACCTAAGCTGAGTGGCCAGGCACAGTTAGTTTTCATGGATCAACTTCTTGTGACACCGCTCAGAGTCTGTATCACTTGGATCTTCATTCAGTCTCCCTGAACTGCAGAGGAGTTTAAAGTGGGATTAACAGCTAATGAATCTCCACATTATCTCTCCCCTAATGGATTTTCTGACCTGCCTTGAACCTGTTACTAATTATTTAATTAAATTTTTTTTTTAAAATCAAGCAAAGATTTCCTGTCAAATCACCTAGCTGCTGCTTTGCTAAAGTTTTTTCTGTTAAAGATTAAATTATCTGATAGGGCTTTATTTGGGCTTAGCATAGTTATGATAACAATTATGAAAAACATTTTTATAGGTTTGAACTTGCCAAGTTTAATACTGCTCTGTGAGAGGCTTTCATTGCTATTGCAGCTGTGGATAACATAGTTGACAAGCTCCCAATAAATGTGTCTTACTTACTTTTCCTCATTGCTGAGGCAAAATATGCAACATCCATCGCTAAGGGAGGAAAGGTTTATTTAGCTCACAGTTTGTAGAGGTTTCAGTGCAAGGTTGGCTCCAAGGGACAGATCAGTTCATGGCACCTACAAGGTAGCAAAAGCAACAAGGGAGAACCAGTCCATGGTGGCCAGGAGGCAGCAAAATAACAAAGGACTTTCATAGCATCTTTTTGCCCCTTTTATACTCTACCTAGACTACCGGGATTAGGGTGCCAGACAAATCAGTGGACCAAGGAGTAATCACCCACCTTTAATTCTAGCCTTGCATCACGAATGGACCATACACTCTGGATACAGCCAGCTCTGAGAAAGCCCCATTAAGACTGCAACTCAAATCATAACAGCCATTAACCCAAAAAATGCTGTTCATTTTAGACATATTGTCCCAGTCTCCCTGGAAAAAAGTCACTCAAGCAGAGGAGTGTTTCTGAATGGTATATAAAGAGTTTGCGCTTCTGGGCCCCAGGAAATGTCGTATATGCCACATAGTAACTTTGTTCCCATCAGCACTTTAGTCTGGGCCGGCATCATCTCTCCTGAGACCAGAGGGTGACGAACTTTTCCTCTCTAGAAAGGGCCAGATGGGAAACACACTCACTCAATACTGACATTTCAGTGGACAATGACACACATACATTACTGTGGTCCCATAAAACTATAAACGAAGAGCCAGGCATGGCTCTGCCATTCCAGTGCATCAGGAGGCTGAGTTTAAAGAGGATCACAAGCCTGAGCTCAGTCTAAGCAATTTAGTGACTGCAAGAATGTCTCAAAGAGTAAAGAGTAAAGAAAGGCGAGTGTGAAGGTCCTGGGATCAATTTCCAAATACTACAAAAAGCAAACAAAATAGGAAAAAGGGAAGGAAGGAAGGAAAAATGCACTACATACACAACAATGCAGTGGACCTGAAGAAGACCTCCAGCCTGGCGACAGCAGGGTCACCTTGACGCCATAACACAACTCCCTTCTTTGTTATGGTGGTGCTGGTATAAACAACCGCCTGCACTACCAGTTAGTTGTAGAAAAGCACAGCAATTGCAATTGGGTACGATCTATGATACTTGACACAACGGCAAACGACTGTGTTACTGGTTTGCATATTTACTATGCTATGCAGTGTTTGTCATTATTTTAAACTGTGACCTTGGACTTATAAAAACCAGTGTGCTGTAAAGCACCCTGTACAAATAAACTCTACGATGTTTACACAGTGACAAAATAGCTCCCCATTGTTAAGGGCACAGACTTGCTTTTAGACTTTGCAAACGCTAAGGCTCTGTCCCGACTACTTTGCAGATGGGGTTAAAGGACCGCAGCTGATTGGCAAATGAACCGTGGTGATGGTGTGCCAGCTCAACCCTCCTGACCCCTCTGTGGGCTGGGACGGAGCCTGCCAATCTCTGGGTAGCATTCCTCAACCACTCCCTGCCCAGACTGGCCTCTGTTTTGTTTTTCTCTATACCCCCAGGCCTGTACAGAATGTCTGGCACCTAAGTGACTTTCCATGAAGTTTGTTGAAAGAATGCACACGGCGCTAGCCGACGCCTACCTATGAAATGATCCCATCTCCGGGCTGCGGAAAAGGATTTACGCCTTCATTAACTTCAGATAAAGGATGTGGACATCGAACATTCACCAAAAGTTAGAAATCTACCTCCTTTCTGACAACACAATCCGTGCATCATTTCTGCACACACCCTTGTGTGTTACTGGAAGTGTGTTCCAATGCATTCCTCCCAGTGAGGGGAAACGTGGTGGTTTGAATGGGGCTGGAACAAGAAGTGTTTTGTTTTTATGTTTGAACAAGAGCACCTCAGACACAGGGGAGCGGTGGAGAGCTCTGTGGCTGGCAGGAAGAAATTTAATGACATCATATCATTAAACTCTGTGTCTGGCCAGACATAGTTTGCATTCCCCTGCAATTAATCATTCTGAGAAGAAAGTCTTCACCTTAGTACTTTGAGTCATGGCAGAAAAGGCTTTGCTTCAACTGTTTGCTTTTTTAAAGAAGAGTTGCCATGGGTCACACAGCTTCCCACGTGATGCAGAGAGGGCGTGTGCCCCTGAGGACTGGTGTGAGGCTCAGGTGGTTGCCAGTGGGTGGGCACAGCCGCAAAGAGGATGAGCCTCTGAGTCAGAATAAGATTTTGGTAATTCATTCATTGTCACACTAGCAAAGCTTTGCCAGGACACTGTGGGGTTTTGTTTTGTTTTCTGGTACTGAGAACTGAACTTAGCGCCCCATACATGCACTCTGTTGGAGCGACACCCCATTTTGACACTGTGCACTTAACGGACAGAGAGTCACAGAGCCCAGACACCACCCAAACAGGCAAATTAGGCTCAAATTAGGCCCCCACACATCCATCTGCAAACTGCAGGGGGCTGGGAGATGCTAGAGCCGGCTTTTACCAGCTCTGCAGATCCTTTCCTAGTGACTGCACACTTATGGCTTGGAATCAGCAACGTGGGAGTATTTGCACACTGGAAATAGGCAAGCAATGCCAATCACAGCCTTGTGGCTCTGGAGGGTGAGGGTTTTTTTTTGTGTGTGTTTTGGTACCAGGAATCAAACTCATGACCTTGCTCTTTCTAGGCAGGCTCTGTGCCCCTGAGCTGTATCCCCGGTCCTATCATTTACTGGTGCACCACTGACAAATTCCCTCATGATACCCTTTATTCTCATCCCCCAACCCCAAGGTTCATCGTGGGCCGAAGCCCCTAGTCTCTCTGCATCTCCGTTTTCTAATCTGTAAAATGGGTGCTTCTACTGTTTGAAGGTCCCCGTGGATATGTATGTTGGAATTTAATCTCCAGTTAGGTGGACTCCAGAGGTAGGACTAAGTGAACTAGGAGGTGATTAGGTGCTAAGAGCTTCATTCTTACAAATGCATTAACCCTTTCTTGGATTAATTAATTATCTCTGAAATACCTTTGCTTTAAAACTGAACTCTCTTGGGCATACCTGTGTGTGTTACTATTCAATGCTCTTCACCCAGTCAAGAACCAGCAGGAAGGCCCTGACCAAAAGCGAAGCAGGTACTTGTACCATTGTTTTGGGATTCCTAGCCTTCAATAAATGAGGGATACATTTTATATTTTATAAATTACTATAGTATTCAGTCATGGCAATAGGAAGCAGTCTAAGACAGAAGTAATGCCTTGCCAAGAAGACACAAGGATTCGATTATCTATCACCTATATATCTATCTATGTATGGCATTTAGCTTATTGCAAGGCTGTATATAATTAGTAAAGGTGGTTATTATTTTATTGATTAATTAAAAAAGAAAGGGGCTGAGGAAAGGCAAGGATAGCAGGAAATTAAGATTTGAAACAGTGATTTTAGTCCAGAAAACTCTGAATAGCTAACGAGGTCAGTGTCAGACATCTGGTCTACCATCAAGGCCACCCAGCCTATGAACCTGGAGGTGGGAGGTGTGGTTCTGCCCGGGCTCTCATGTCACCTCTGCCTGGGACTTCGGCCTTCACTCACAGCTTCATCCATCAAAGAACTCAAAATAGGATCAGAAGAGGAGCAGCTGCGACCCAAACCTGCTCAGCTGGCCTCACACCAAGTTCTCAGGAACCTCCCAGCGTACGGCTGGTGGAAAGGAAGGAGCCAACAATGGAGCTGGTGTCCATGGAAGCAGGAAAGAATTATGTGCGGCTGGGACATGTTCTGAACTGGCTGACTCTTCGCTGTGCTTTGAAAAGGAAGCTTTTAACTATGGTAACTGGGTCACTGTGGACAGCCACAGGAGAGAGAGGAGCTCGGCTCGTGTTTCCTTCCAGGAAGTAGAAAACATTGCATTGTGTACGTTTTCAGGAGATGTTTTGGGTAACAGTTTGATTGAGATCTATACCTCCCTCATCGCAGAAATCCAAATTAGTAAAAGAAAAAATGTTCTGATTTTTCAGACACCAGATCTTAGGGTTGCACTTACAATGGTGAGGGAGTAGTTTGCTGACAGTGACGTCTTTCAAACAATGTCCCCATCTTCACTGGCTTAGTTGTAAGCAAGAGTGTGGTTCTAATGGGCTGCTCAAAGTTTACCGTGTTGCCAGTCTGACAGTGGTAAAGGCAGTGCTTTACAGGGTGACTAGGTTACCAGAATGTCCCTCCTGGTCAGTGGGATTAAGGCCCTTGCTGAAGGCATCATGACATAACCGGTTTGCGTCTGTGCTTTCCTGTCACGTCAAGACACACCGTTCCTCCCCTCCAGAATATACAGCCTTCCCCAGGACCCTGAGCTTACCCATGCCTTGATCTTGGACTTGAAGTCTCTAGAACTCTGAGAAATCAGTGTGTGTTCTTTATAATAAAAGGAAAAATCACACAATGGGCTGCTGTTTGCAATACCCATCTTAGAGAGGAACCAGCTCTCACTTACTTGCAAAGAATCTCAATCTGCTTTTAGTGAGCTGAGGGGAAGGACATGGAATAGTCCTGTGGGGATAGCTGTGGGCTGGAGGCTCCCTGACATCTTACCTATGCACCCTCTGGACGGTGCTCTTCCTGTTCATGATGTCCCTTGGACACATGTTTTCCAAGTGAATGAATGACCTGGGTCCAGGTTTATGAATAAATGTTGGTTGGAATCAGTACTGGCTGGAGCAGAGCATCAGCTTTGTCACAAAAAGTCCCATGTTTTCTTCAAACTTGATTTCATCTGTAATGTCCCCTCTGGGTACAGTTGCCCTTATCTCCCAGGGTGTTATGTCTTGCTCTTGAGATTCAGGTGACACAGATATGACATAGTCAGGGCCCACCACAGGGGCATGGAAACAGGCAGAATGCTAGGCATTGACCTGCTGTTAACTAAAAGAATGACTTGCATTTTTTTCTGGGACAGGCAAGGACTTATAAGCTATTTCTGCTTTGAACCATGTGCTCACTCAGTCCTACAGATGCCCAGTAGATAACTGTAACAAAACTAAGCTTGACCCTCATGCTGTACCCTTTGTTATGTGACCCCTGGGTCAAATTCTTTCTTAGTTCTGCATTAGGGGTGTGCTGATCATTTAGGGAGTGCCTGAGACCTGGCCAGACAAGCTTGCTGTGCTTTGAATTTACATGTATTTCCCATGCCCTTCAAGGCTGAGGACACAAGATAAAAAGTTTACTGGGACATTTAGATGCATCCAGAAGTCTCCAGTCCTCCTAAATCTGTGCTCACCTGGATTCCAGGAAAAGCAGAGTCCCACTCCACTGAGACCACCTTAGACAGGGATGACCCTTTCTTGGAAATCAGACTGCCCTTCAGCCAAAAAGAGATACCACACCAGGAGTGAAATGCTGATCAACTGGACCTCAGCCCACAGGCTGATGCTTAAAGCTGGCCTCGGGCCTTTGTGGGCAGACTAGTCAGAACTCCTGTGTACCCTCTAGCTACCTACGCTGCAGGCCTTTCCTATCCTCCTAACTTTCTAATTAAAGAGGGGTTTTTTCCCCTGTAAATTTGTGCATGGGTTTTAATTTCCATTTGTACTAGAGCAAAACCCATGTTAGCCAGGTACACAAGGGTGTTTGGCTCAAATCTGTGTATTCCATGCTCAGAAACAGCCGAGGTATTTGTCTTGTTAGAGCACATAACTCCAAGGTGAGTCAGTAGTAACCACTCACTGCAACCTTGACTGTTATTACCACCAAGGATGAGAAACATAATGGAGCAAACTTTACAGATTACAAAACACACACATATGTACAGTACTACTTGAGTTTCAAGAGTGACAGCAGTCTTGTAAGGTAGTCGTTGTAAGTTTTATTCAGTGGTTATGACCTTCCGGTGTACAAGGTATTCAGATGCAGTCATTTAATCTTTGCACCAATACCCTCAGGGGGCTGCTACTGTTTTCCTATTTGTCAGATGAGGAAATTGAAGCCTAAAGAATGTAAGTAACTTCCCCAAGATCCTATTACCCTACTTGTAAATAGTAGACACTATCTCCAAATACGAGCCCCT